AGTCGAATGTTTCGAATTGAATCTTCAATGGAATAGTTACGAAAAAATAATTATCCATGAATACGTTGAATAATGTCTACTAAGTAACTGAGATGACCTCGATATTAGTAGTTATTATTAGATTTGATGCTATGTATCAACATCTGACATGACAATCAAGTTAGTGTTTCCAGTTAATCGCTCAATTTAAGAGATAAATTAAAATCACAAGTCGTCTCAAAATTTTCGATTATTGCAGTTCCTTGGGACTAGGCAAAATGATTAAAATATAACTCAGTACTCACTGAAGTGAGTGACAGAGTGCGCATTTTCTCGTCGACGAAAACGTGAAGTCACGGACGGATGCACGGACAGATAGACGGACGGACATGACGAGCACAATAGCGCTTTTTTTCCATAAATGAGAAAATGCACTGAAACTGCAAAAAACGGTTGGAACTTTGGATCTTGAGTTTGAATCTGGGAAGGATTGATATTTAATTGCTTAGTTGCTTTAGTATTGTCTTGAAGGCAGCAGCGCATATGCAAAACGTTACATATTTATTTTTGCAGACATATCCAGTCATGCCAGGCATATACTATGCGCAGTGAGTCCTACGATGTAAGCTCATGTTTAAGCGATTCAATTGAATGTTCCGCCGCACAGACATGACCTCTTGCAGCTGCTAAGCCGTCTTCTCTGTCACTCATTCTCATTTATTGTCACCTAACAAATAAGATTTGAACGGCAACAATCTAATCTCTAGCCTGATCTAAAAACTATATCAAGTGAATTATTGTGAATAAATCCAACTTTCTGAGATATCACTTATATATGCCGTTAATAAGGGTTACGACATGGTATGTAAGATACTGTCAGCCGAGGGAAGCTGAGCCTCTAAGTGTAACATTGGCCCAAAATTAGATAGCACATAACAGGTTTTGTTGTGCTCTAAAGTGTTAATGTAATGATTTAAAATTCTTGGTCATTCATATTACTGTATAGGTAGCAACATGGCTTGGAAGGCAGCACCGTTAGAACTTATAATCAAACTACAACCCTAAAAACTTTTTTTAACTTTGGGACAACAAAACACTCATGAGCCAATCTTTCCCTCTAACTGACGGTTTTCTAGTAGTTTTATCATCCAATTCTAAGCTTGAAACTTTAAAGCAAAATATTTTGGATCATGTCGCGTTAACATGTACTAGTTAGTACTGTAAAACGTCCTAGTCCCTGTCATATTTACACGTTGGTACACATTTATTTTCACGTTGGCATGGTAAAATCTCTTTAATCCATCCCTTCAAGTTCTGCTCGTGCACGGAAAGTGCAAGTCTCATGTCGCGTTGTCACTCCACTAACTCTTCACGCTCCAATGTTTTCCCTGAACCCTGGAGTTGAAACTCCCACGTTGCACTGATTCTCCAGACGACATCGGGATTACAGATGTCGGTTTAGTTTGAGGCTCCGTGACCACTGCCTCGCTTAACTCCGCCCTCAAGCCAAATGTTATTTATATAACTAAAACATTGTGCTTTTAGTCTTACCTAAACTTATTGCTATTACTTAAACAAAGACGTATTGTTGATATAAGGAATTGGAAACCATAGTCCATGCACACTTTAACCCGGCCTATTGAGCTTCCGCAGCTTCTGGCTTGTCGGGAGCTGCTTGACATGTCCTTCGTCCGAAGCTTACCGCCAAATCCTGTGGATGCCGCCGGGACCAAAAATATATCTATAAACGAAATTTTGCGTTACCTTTGATCCATTTTTATTCCTCGTTTTTTTCTCCATTCTTATTTTATTCCTCGTTTTTTTTTCTCCATCTTCATTCTTACCAATACTCGTCTGTCCATCTCAACACTCGTTTGTCCATCTCAATACTCGTCTGTCCATCTCATCTCCATTCTTACTTAATGGAATCCATTGTCATGGCAAACTCCAGTAAAAAATAGAATACACTGTATGCTTTAGCTGCGCAAGGAGGGTCAATAAAAAGCAATCGTAGCAGGGATGGACAGTTTTAGAATATTTTTACAGATTAAAAAATTGGTGATTACTTTCAAATGAGTTATCACTTACACTTATTAGATACACTGTTCACCATCGAACGGACGAGACACGTACATCCCTTAAATTTCTATTTATTTTTATATATATACGTACGGAAATCACGTTAAGCAATTGAGCACCGGAAATAAAACTGGTGCGGTTTCTGTACTTTTGATATGTAAAGAGTATTATACTCGAGAAAAAGTTGAAATTTGTACAAAAATTTTCTTTCAACAAAGCCTAATTGTACCTCCATGCATGATTGTTATCAACAGCAGCCATTAACTTTCGTTTCAAATACCGAAAATTGTTCTTTAATCATATAATCAAAGGACCATTGTAATACATCAGATATTTCCTTCCATTATAATTCAAATTGTCTCCACTTATAGGGAAGTATAATAATGATTAGATCTGCATTCAAGCAAGCTGGCTTAGATATAAAGATGTTTACACAACCTTAAGAGAAAGTTTGGCTTCAATTTAAATTAGCGCAGCATTTCGGCGAGAATTAATTTCAGAAATGAAACGAGTTTCGTCAGATATATTGTACCAATACATGAATGCATGAGCCCTCCTGCTTATACTTGGTTTTAATTCTAGTCAAAAATTTAAATACTCGAAATTCCCTTCGATATCTGATAAATAATTTTAAATATATGCAAGAAATATTATAATTGAAATATAGCTAGTTTGGAACTGTGCATTTAAACTTCAAGAAGTTAACAGAAATGCAACAAACTAGCAACACTGAACAACAAACACATATAAAAAATAAGATCAGGTGAGGCCAGATAATATATTATCATTACAATGGCTAAAATTATAGGAAAACACAGAGCGTTCGAGAGATGCAGATAAAATATTTGGAGTGGGATCGGTTATCGGATTTTTTTTTCAGTAAAATATTTCCTATACTTGGGTATGGATATAGGAATAGCTTTTTTAGACATGCGAGATTGTTATTTTGTGTCTTCAATTTGCGCTAGGGGCTGGTATTTTTTTAATCGATTATTTTGTTTATTAATTTATCTTTTGTGTAATAACTTATTAATTACACAAAAATGTATGAATCGAACAATTGCAGCCAAATATTTCATGTCCACTATGTGAGTATTTTTTGCAAGGCTTTTTGCATATTTAAATTTACTTATGACTTTTATTACGCAAGATTAAGGTTGATGAACGGTATTTGGCATACCCTCGTCCACGCATATGTCATTACAACAGATATTTACATTAAAAATGCACTGCAATTTTAAGAACAGGAAAAAGAGGTGTTTTTGCTGTATACAATTAATGATTCGACATCTGTCAAGAATATAAAACTTATATGTCACCTGGCACACCTCGTAACAAAGTTACTCTCTATACACTTAAGAGGGGACAACTTCATGCAGAGGAGTTATTTCAGTTGTTTGAACTTTTGAACAAGTTTACGTAGAACCTAAAGTTTCCTATTCATTGAAACTTGGCGAAGTTGGCGCCATTATGCAATAAATTAGGATTAAGATCCACAAATTTTTAGAATAAGGGACTTATTGTTCTCTAATTAGGATTAAACGATAATAGTTGATGAACAACGAGAGATTATCTTCGAAATAATTAGTGCACTGACTTTAAGTATATGCACTAATTATTTCAAACTTTATGTATATTTCCAATGACTTTAAGTATATTTCTTGGTTAGTAAATTTGTGCTTTGATGATTTTTTTTTGGTATAAAGTCCTTTAGGCGCTGAAGCAAAGGATGAGTTATTTAACGCTTAATCAGTGAATAAAAGTAAAAGTCAATTTAAAATAAACTTCTTCCATTTAAATTTTCCAATTTTGGACATTTAAATGTAATGGAATGATAAATTCCCTGAAACTTGGTGCTGAATAATACCTGAACTTCGAAAGCCATGGAATGCAATATTTTAACGACACGCACAAATTTGAATCGAAATCTTTGTCACCGAAAAAAATCTTCAACGCTCATAAATCTTGAACAATCCAAACTTACCCTGGCAACGAGTTTTTCGATTTCGCCGACTCTAGGAATTTTTTCAAGGTTTTTCAATTTTCGAAATTTTTTCGATTTTTTAGGAATTAAAATGAAGGTCGGCATATGAGAAATGACGACCTAAACCTATGCAAATATATAATATGATGCTCTTTTCGGCGCCTAATCTTCGCAGAGGCGAGAGTTTTAATTGTCTCCATTGTACTCGATGTACAAAAAAGCTGTCGTGCGCCATCATTGTACTCTTATGTAGATCTGATGTTCTGATATTAGTTCTGTCAAAATTTTATTTGAGGACAGCTCTACAAGCAAGTACATAAAATGAATGAAAGTCTTAAATGGAATGAAAATTTGAACAAAATTAGATACATACATCACAGGATTAGCTTACAACGGACCTGATGATAATGTTTTATACTGTATATATAAACTTTTCTTAATAAATAATTTGATATGACATATTTACCTGTAATATTTACATAATATACATTTTTGTGATTAGTTTGAATCGCCCAATTTTTTATTGAAACATTCATGACAAGTATTCATCCGATTCAAAATTGTCAATTTCAATCTTTTTTCTACTTTCTTTTCGATACAAGCTCAGGGTTATCTGTATAATCCAAAAATGTCAAAACATCATGCCAAAGCTTTCATTTCTCAAACTAACAATAAATGGAAAAAATTACCTTATCGTCAAAATATGGAACCATTGTATTATTATTTATGGCTGATAAATCTTAAATATTTTATAGGCGCTTAAAAACTATTGTTTGTGCCTAAACTTTTCCAGAGTGGAAATACTTCCACGACCTACCAGATCTCTTGATCTGCCGTCATCTAGAAATTTGTCCAGGCTAGCGCGGTGTAAGCCCGAAATGTTTTTTTCAATATTTAAACTGAAAATTTGGTCACAAAGCGGGGGATTTTTTTTAATATTTGAACTAGAAAATTGGTTACAAATTTTTTGTTCCTGGAAAATTTCGCGGTAACGATTTCATCTCTATATCTCAATTGAAAATAGTTTGCAAACAGCATTCGTATAAAATTGAAATACTTCATTGAAAAGCAATTATTCAGTTTATGTTTTTGTTTATTGAATCTATTCACAGTGATCTCTGAAGGAGTTAATGAAGATTTGGAATTTGTTCATACTCATTGTCACTTCCTTACCGATTAGAGTACGTTTGCGGGAACTACCCTCAAGCCTTGTAATCATTTATACATGTAATAGAGAAGCTACCTAATCAGACATTTCGCGAACTTCATGTTTGTAAAGGGACAAGCAAAAATTTATCAATATAGATTCACTTGGGAAAGATTCCAATGATGCAGACTTACACATAATATAATTTATAGCACGTACAATCTCTGCGGTCTGGACGCAGTGCGTCAATTCATAATTGCAGAGTTGGCTGGAACGATCACAAGATGATGACGCGTTGGAGAAGGAAAGACATCATGATCAGGCGACTTATGACGGAAAATGAAATCCGTCGTGCCTGAGATGTTCCGTTTGTTTGCATTGCAGCTTGATATTCTCCTGCAGAATAAATAAAATGAGGCGTTATTGCAAATAAGCTCTTTCAAAACATTCAATTTGATTTTTTGTCATCGTTTATATGTTAAAAAATTCGTGCGTTAAATCTTGTTCTATAGCATATACTGAGCAAAAAAAGTTTTTTTGTGGGGATAATTTGAAAACTTGGGACACATTTGGACAAAATAAAATAAGTGAATCTAGAACACCGCCCATTTATTTTTTACTGGTGTCAATTTCACTATATTGTTCCCTGTTTTCGTTGGACATTTCTGATCTTCTACAAGGCATAAACGTAGTTTTATGTCATTGCTTGACTCGTAGAAAAATTTTGTGTAAAAAAACAACGGTAATGATTGCCGTCAGATTTTTGTAAATAGTTTATTAATGACATTCCTCCTCACCATCCCTACTATAGTTGAATGGATTTTGGAGTGAGAAAAATTCGCCTCAATTTACTTACTATAGCCTGTCATTAGAAAATCTGACCATGATAATAAGTTGCATTTTTTATGTGGTTTCAATCCGATTGTAATCGAATTAAATTATATTTAATAAAAAATGAAAACAACAATGATTCACTAGGGGGTTTCATATTACTGCAGAGAGTTAAAAAGCAATGACGGTTCTCCTTGTGCTTATGATTCTAATTTTTCCAAGTCTTCAGTTCAGTTTTCACAACATTTGAATATTTTTATTTGTTAAAAATCGGTTACCGATTTTTTTTATTTTTTTTTCATAAAAATAGCAAACTCTTAGCAGATTTCTCATAAACAAAAGATTATTTAATTAAAATTGTGCCAAAGCCATTCGACGGATTACTTTATGACGGGATATACAAGCAGATTGTCAAAATTGACTAAGCTGAATTTATTCTACGACTAGCGTGTACGAAGGATTGGCTCTTAACAATTTATTCGTCTTACCTCGAAGATTCTGAGAAAAGTTTTATTGCTGCCTCTCTGACTGAATCATGCAATGGTTTCGGGAAGAATGCTCTTTCCAGCAATTGAAACTTTAAATGCTGGAGGAATAACAATTACCAAGTAAACAGCTGCATTGAATTTTGGTCAATTTTTATGAGTGAAATCTCACCAAATCACACGTAAAACAATCTGTCTCTAGTCTGAACTATAGCCCTTCTTGTCTTTTACATTAGAGCTTAAGAATTCTTTTTGTAAGGTATGTCAATGCAATGCAAATAAAATCAAAACTGTGCAAATATAATGAAAGTAGGAAAAAATATTACGACGCAAGCGTAAAAACACAGCTGTCTATTGAGCACTAGACATATCATGTAGAGAAGTTTATAATCCACTTTATTGGATTCCTTATTTTAGGCAATATATTTTCACCGTTGCGACAACCAAACTGACATCCAACATGCGCTTTCTGAATTTCTGTTATGCTTATTAACACAATTTCTTCAAAACAAGTCGATATAATACGCATCACTAAGCATAATCCTTCGCTTTTTGGGCAAATTCTTATTAGTGTTGTGACAACAAACCTGATAACCAACATGCGTTTTAAGAAGTTCTGTTATGCTTATTCACACAATTTATTCCTAATAAATCGAAAGCCTAATCCTGTTATTTAAGTACCTTCAAGAACGTGTAAGTTGGCAGTGACGGAGTTACCGTTGGAAGGCTTGCACGTGTATCGGCCCGTATCAGCGAACGATGCGTTGTGCACCAGTAAGTAGGATACGGTGTTCTTAGTGGCCTCTGTCACGACTGTCACTCCTTCTCGGTCGCCTTCGTACTCCATCAACTGAAGATAGGAAGTTCGTTGCTTTGTTAGGCTGAGTTCATAAGATTAATAACTTTCTGATTGGTTGCCAATTTATTTCAAATTTTGCTATCAAAAATTTAACTTCCACGGCTAACGAATGAGTTTTGAGATATTATATGTTGAACAGTAAACTATGAGTAGGGAGCAGATCACACTATCATCGATTGCTGCAAATTCGCTTCTAAATCTAATTAGGTATTCGTTGCTGTATGAGTCTCGACTGATTGAGAGTTAATATTAGCCAATATACATTGAGAGATTGGATGGATAATCGAAATATTTATTTCCTTCGGAACACAATTCATACTGTATGACCTACAGGCGACCAGAGGCTTAACTTTACACTCAGGACCAAAAAACAACACAAACCGAACAATTCCGATCTATTAAAATAATAAAAGTAAGGATTTCTCATTATATTTTTGTTCTGGCTTGCATTGAGCGTTTCGAATACGTCATGCAAATCAGTCAAAAAATTGTCACAATGCATTGGAAGCTTCAAGCTTAAAAAAAATCAAGTTTCTACCCGAATCCAAACTGAACTTCTAATGATTTAAATGACACAAATCACATGCATAGTCTCGACTGAATTATTATGATTCGCAAGATTTCAAATCAGTCGCACAGGCCTATAAATAAATGTAAAACACAGTTTTTCTACCTTATAGTTCATTGTTTATTTAATGATTATGCAGCGATATGATAGTTTATGAAGGCATCACGTAACATCGAATAAGCATTCTCAATTAAAGAGCACACGATATAAATTTATGAATGCTAAATTTAAGAATGCAATATACTGAATGCCAGCGGCAAATTAATACGAAATCTTCTTATTCAGTCTAATAGATTGGAGCAATGTAGTCATAAATGCTGAACTATGATTAGTTATTTGAATACTAAACGGATATTGATCGTTACAGGTTAAACAATACGCGTAATTGATATCAATAATGATTATACGTTAAATAGAAGCGAAAAAACATTAATAGTTACAAAAAATACATTGGATCGTAAACATTTGTTGGGTAGTAAATATAGCGAACTCCAAATATTTCGGCTCTACTTTAATTAATTTGGAAACTGTTGACGAACGTTTGCGTCACGCATCTGTGCTAACCACATTTCTATGGATTCTGATGAATTTGAGGAACTCAGGTCAAGTTCATATAAAAAGAATCGGAGAGCGATTTCTTTAATTAGTTACTAGGAAAAATTCCCCGTTTTTTTATCGTGAACTAAAGAGCATGATGATAACAAACTTGACGAACCCTTTATCAAAAAATACATAGGTACTAAACCTAAAAGTGAGATAACTTAATCCTATTTAAATAAAAGTTAATCGCTACATCCGATTACTCGAATTAGTAAACCTAAATTGAATAATTATTGTGTGAAAATTATTTTTTTCCGTGAAACAAGTAAAAAGTTTGAATTATTATTCTCTGAAGCGATAAATACACCGTTGAATAAGCTTGCGCAAGAACGCAAAACAAAAATTGTATTATAGCTAAAAAAGCAGAAGCGGACAGTTGATTCGCATTGTAAGCTTAATCTGATCACCAGGATCATGGTAAAGTTTTTTCAACAAAAACTATATTTAAAAACGAAATATTGTTTAGCTCAAAAAGCAACAAATTCCATTGAAACATAGCGGGACTGCGCCAAAGCGCGCATTCAATTCGAACTCATTTATCTTTTATAAAATGTATTTAATTAATACGTCAAATATCGAGGACCAAATCCTGGCGCGATACTTTGCCTTGTTAAAAAAAAGCCCTTAACAACGCACGTCCGCCCACTTTCCAAATCCAGTTTCATTTGTGAATTTCATTAATTATTTTGTTGGTCGGATGTCAAGCGCTCGACGCGTGAAATTTGCTCACATCCAAAACAACAAGCAAGCCATTTATGGCGCTCTCAATCAAGGCTTGAACATTGCACTGACCTTGTTACCGTGATACCAGTACACAAAAATTGGCCGGTCCGTTCCATGATGTACCAGGCACGTTAGGTTGATGAGGGAACCCTGATGCACGTAAATATCCGGAGCGTTCACGATTTCCGCACGTGGCTCTGAAATTGAAAGAGATTTTTGCTGCTGGAATTAGAGTTGTAGTTTTTGACACTTTTTTTATGTGGAGGTGGAACTCAAATAAAATTGTTATTACATGGCTGGATTGCGTTATTGGACCGGGGATTTTATCTATGATGCGGCTTTTGATAAATATAAAGTGTTGCAATGCACAATAATGTGTGCCGCGTCGAGAGTAGAGCGAAATAAATTGTGAATTCAACTCCTTTGGTTATGTCGAGAATGAGAATAACGTGCTGGAGTTATTTTGTGAAAATACTCTGCAGAACGAAAATTATTTGTATTAGGTATGGACGTCATGAAATGCGTGATACCCTACGTACATTGTAATCGCAATTTTTCACATGTACGCTTCACGTAATCTTTCTGTTTAGACCTTCAGTCATCCAACCGAAGTTTACCTGGAGATAAATTGTCATTCGTAGTTCAAACCTCTTTAGTGGCGAAATACTTCGGTGAGTTTAGTGCTGCAATTTATTAGTCTTTCATTATTGATTCTGATATGATACATTTTTTTGTTAACTTGGATTAAATTTTGCTTATATTTATTTATATTGTGTATTAGATTGCTAATATTTCTGATGTCATACTTGCAGAAACTATGATTTCAAGATAACCCAAATAAAACTCCTTGAAACCTGAGTGTCAAAATTTCGCCTAAGCCACTAGGGCTAGACGTACATTCCACCTTTTAAACTTAATGTATGGACAATTTATTATTTATAACGGCTTAATTTGCGTGTTCAACTTCACCAACGCCGCTCTGATGCGATTAGTCATGCATTGGTGGCGGAGTTCGCCCCACTAGTAAATAGTAAAATAGAATAAAAGTAAAATATAATTACTTACAATTCTTGAAGGCTATAATAATAGCCTTACGCTGCGATTTTACTTACAATAATTCGATTATTTAAGTCAAGGCTCAAATTCCGATTTCGTTTTTGAACGTTACAGACTGGAGGGAATGGAACACTCACTTAAATGTAGAATAATCAAATTGGAAATATAATAAAAGCCAGGTGGCCCGCACGGTTCTTCGGTTATTATGCATTTTCCCACATCTTGCAATTTTAAGAAAAGCACAATTAATGAAAATAGTTTACAGTGAATAGTTTGCATCGTACGAATCAACATTAATTTTTCTTACGATATCTGTCGATTTATTCCGAATCAGAAAGATTCAACAATGAAGTTTACCCAGAATTATATTGCTGCAGAGTGCAATAAGAAGTTGAATTTTTATTGGTACTTAGTGCGCAGCTAACTAACCGGACCGTTCATTTGAGCATTGATCGTTATTCTGTACATAAAAAGTTGGTTGCGCGAGTACCAGTGAACCACCGTGTCTTTTGTGCGATGATTGGGCACAGAGGAAATCATTGATTGATTGATTCTCTTTGGGTCTGCGGAACTATAGAGGAAAAGATTGATTGCTTGATCAATTCTACCTTGGGTTGACTAAGCTATACAGAGGAAAAGTTTTATTTGCTAATTATTCACAGTGGATTGGCTGAGCTAAAAAGAAAAGGATTGAGTGGTTGATTAATTTTACCATGGGTTGACGGAGCTACAGCGGAAAATATAGATTAGTTGTTTAATTCTACAGTGGATTGGCAGAACTACATAGGAAAAGATTAATTTTTTATTAATTTTGCAGTGGGTTGGCTGAGCCACAGAGGAATAAATTGATTGGTTGATTAATTCTACCCTGGGTTGACGGAGCTACAGAGGAAAACATCGATTGATTGATTTTTTAGCGAGTTGGCGGAGTTACAGAGGAAAAGATTGATTGATTTTTCAGCAAATTGACACAGTTCCAGAAGAAAAGATCGAGTGCTTGATTCTTTAGCGGGTTGGCGGAGCTACAGAGGAATTCTACCCTGGGTTGACTAAGCTACAGAGGAAAAGTTTCATTGGCTATTTGATTCTACAGCGGCTTGACGGGACTACAGATGAGAAGAAACTCACCAATAACATTTACGTTGACGATGTAGCTGAGCACGGGTTTGGTTGAGATCTGACATTCGTATTTGCCGGCGTCGTCCTTCTCAGCAGCTCTGATGCGCAGCACCCACTCCTGACTCGCCTCGTTGTGCACTACGGACACGCGCTGGTCGGTGCTGTACTTGTACTTATCCACGGTCAACACGTGCAGGTTACGAAGTCGTATCCACGATACCTGCATCCAACAATTATTCATTAATGTTAGAGAGCTTTCAACTTTCATATTTTCATTTAAACATTCATACATTGGTGTAGTTTGACAAAAGCTGTTCTTTAATACAGGTTTCATTGAAGACCAGAAAGTACCTGCCCACAGAGTATTTCATTGTATCGTGGATTTCATTTTTCATTCAACTTTCATTTTTCATTCAACCTGTATTAAAAGTGTTCTTTAATACAGGTTTCATTGAAGACCAGAAAGTACCTGCCCACAGAGTATTTCATTGTATCGTGGATTTCATTTTTCATTCAACTTTCATTTTTCATTCAACCTGTATTAAAAGTGTTCTTTAATACAGGTTTCAATGAAGACCAGACCAGAGAGTATTTCTTATTGACAATTTTCGTATTGTTTTTTTTATTCGGCGAATTAGGCATCTGATAGGAATCGAAAACTCGAATATTAGATTCCCAAGGGACATTTTATTATAATTTACGACGTTTCGAATGTAACTTGCTTCATTATCAAGTATTCGACATTCATTCATGTGCATGTCAATTTTATTAGCATATCTAAAAGTTATAACAAAGTAATAATCGAACAGACTTCAATGCTAAATGTTCTGACCTTTTGACATTCGATTTATAAGAAAGTTTTGACTTAACATAAAAGTTTGGAAAATGAGAATAGTGTAATTACTTAACATGTAATCAACAATTCCGGTACCGCTGATACGCTTGATGAACGCAACTCGGTCACTCTAAATAAACAGGTTTTTGCGATTATAAATTTATGCACTTCCGTAACGTGCTAATACAACTCGTCTCCTTTGCCTGCCATATAATTGACGAAGGTTCCTTATGAAGTGCACGTAATGGAGTTAAAGACATGAAACGTATCGACAGAAAAACTCAATTATATAATTAATTATATATTATTAATTAAAATTATTTACATAGCAAATTTAAACTGTTAAGAAAAGAAGTTGACCAGTGGATGAATTTGTTAAACTCATGAATGGTTCACGTAAGTATATAGTGAATTTAAAATTTGTATGCATTTCCAAGACTGCTCCGAGTTAGCGCGTTCATGAAAGGCTAACAGATTAGTTGTGTAAGGCAACAGCAAGATAATGGCTGCTCACATTTGGATGGATATTACAAAAATTTGCCAGGACCGCTGCTCCGTTAAATTATCAGCAGTTTTAAAGGCCAATTCCAAGCAACGACATGACTGTTTCTAGATCGATGATAAAGTGGAATAAAAAGAGTTAGCGTAGTGTTAAGGCATGCATGATAAATAGCAGGATTTAATGAAGAATTGAAGATCTTTAATATTCAAAAACCAAGGAACGAAAACGGTTTGTCAATTTTCTCTAACAAAATAATTAGTATCGTTATCACGGCAAAATTTTGCACTAAATTACGAAAATTTTCTGCTAATGTTGATTTGAATGCCTGACACAGTGACGCAATTTTAAACGAAAAAATGGCATTGAATTATCATTACACTTTTTTCGAAGAATTTTCAACTCTGTGGACTGACATTCATGAGTTCTAAAGTTAATAGAACTCTATCAGTGTGTCCGCAACATCCAATAAGGATTAGCGGGAAATATTGCAACATTAATATTGTGCATAAGTGATAAAATATAGATTTGATTATAGCTAGCGATAATTGAAAGTCCATAACTGTGTCATTGAAAGCGAAATAGCATTAAGAGGATGATAGACTAATGCAATCATGTAATGATATATTTTTTGCAATTTTTTGAAGCGTATACATGACTCCACATACATTAACTGTGATGTCCTTCTCTAATCTGATTTGACCTGAATATTTTCTTGTAAAACTGGGATTGAAAACAAACTAATTAAATTGGTTTCTATTATACCAATAAGAATTAGGAAACAGTATTCCTTAAATGGACGGCGTTTCTTTTCTGACAAGGATTTCCTATCTTAAATTCAAAACGGGGCAAATAAATCACTTTTTATTAGAAAATACTGGATTCGCAATGTTCTAACATGGCCGCCTCAGACATGGTCGAATATTTCGAAACTTGTTCACTGCTAAATCTAAGCAGACCTTTTAATACTACGCAGGCCTTATACGTCAGCAATTGAAACAAAAAGCTCGTCACATCTTCCATGTGTGAGATTACAAGCAAAATTCAACACAATTTGTATGGTCATCGCTCTAGGAAATTATTTTTTTGAGTATATAACGAAAGATTACAGAATATGTTGGTAGCAATTTTCCGATTAAATTCAACGAGAATTATTCTTCTCGCTAGTCAGTGAGTGAATTGTGCTCAGATTCGATTCGCATTTTCATATTATAAAATTTAATTAGATTTATTGGTGAGTCCGAAGATTTTATTATTTCATTCAAGATTATATAAAATTTTATTAGACTTATTTGTGAGCCAGAAGATTTTACTATTGTCTCAGCTTGTACAGCATCGCCAGTACAATATTTAACGTTCATTTAAACGTACACTAGATAACAATATAGAAAACGATTTAATTTTACAGTAACATGAAAAACTTCGACCCACTGACCGTTTTCTCGGCCAGGTTAAGGACCCTACATGAGAGAATGGCAGTCTGTAACATTCGTTTGAATGTACTCAAGTTAGCTATACAGCAAACGATTAAATTTAAATTTATATTTAAACTTAAGTAACCTTAAAATTTAAATTTAAACAACACGAAAAGCTTCGACCCACTGACCGTTTTCTCGGCCAGGTTAAGGACCCGGCATGAGAGGATGGCAGTCTGTCCTTCCTGAACGGTCAGGTTCCTCGGTATGGTCTGGTCGAACCGGGGTCCTGTCGGGGATCCCAGCCCGTCGTTCTGGAACCGTTCGCCCATGGGAACTTTGAGTGCCGCGTGAGATGGAGACTCGCTTACTCTAGGGAGGAGAATGGAAAATATAATACATTTATATTCCTCAAAGTAACAGCATTAGAATTATAATAAATTCTTAAACCTTCACAGTTTGAACATATTTTTTACGAGAAGCAATGTATGATTTTACAGAAATTGGAAACATTACTGTTTTTCCATTTGTTAGAAAATGATTTTGTGGTAAATTTTATTTAGATGAAAGAAGCAACATATTTAAATAGATAATATACATAAAATTGCTTTAGATTCTCAAACATCCGGCCACCCTACCGACTGTGATCAGAATTGTCACAGAAGGTTGGGCTCGAACCCTAAACTCACTGCTCCGACTATGATACTCTAAAATTTCAACACTCGGCCACCCTGCCACACAAAATATAATTTCTTTTTAATTTTCGATGTAAGTGTAGACCACATTTTGATCCAAAATAATACTGTATGTTTATTCGAATACTAATTTGGAGAATGATAATTATTGTCTCTACCTTTTTTACTTCGATTAGTCTTCCTTAGAAATATATCCTAGAAGAACGGCTCTGGCATGAAACCGAAATAGAAGCTCTCGAACATACTCTCAAATTTGATACGTGTGAACTTACTCGACCCGAATATTTATTCATTTTAGTGAAATGACGTTTTCGTTTTTTATCATTTAACGGGTTTCAACTTCGACTAGCACCCTTAGAATTTGCATTCATTTATAACATCCCTAGAGTTGCATTCAGACAAAAAGTCATCACTGCTACGGAGGACCTTGTCTGAGATTACTAATTTAACTGACTGCGCAAACTTCATGACCTAAATCGTACTTGAAGAAAACGGCCACGATTTATTTTATTCTATCAAGGTTCTCTCTGCCATGTTTGACGTGACTTCTTATTGGACTGCCAAATTTCATACTTTTTGCAGATCAAACTTGTTATAACTCAAATTTGAGTATAATGATTCAGTGCACGACCGATCGCCTGGTTCCTCGAGAGATCGTGTACTAATGCTGATAGTTTATACGTTTTGCTCATTCATTACTTGCCGTACTTGAACTTTATTAGTATTTCAATAGCAGTAACAAAAATTTAGTAAATACAAACGTTCTCCAATGTTCAACTTCTTCGTGTCATCTATTATTTGAATTGTGAATTCAATTTCGTCAATAACAGCATTTTCAAAGGAACATATGCTCTGGGCAAAGCTCTTTTCTCGAGGAGTGTTTGAATTGACAATTGCAAGTCAAATTAGGTAACATACTTCAAAAGTTCAGCAATTGGGCGGCAAAAACTTCCACAATTTTACCTGTCGAGCGAGGGCAGCTGGAGACTCTTGAGGCTGATGAGATCTTGATGAGGTTTATGATGTGCAGCGAGGCCGTGAAGCAGCGGCCTGCCGTTATGATGGACAGCGAGGCCATCTAGCAGCGGCCTGCCGTTATGATGGACAGCGAGGCCATCTAGCAGTGGCCTGCCGTAACCAGGCGAGTAGTGACTGACTGCAGTGGCCTCTGCCAACCCTGCAGGCAGAGAGGCATACCCAATCAAAATTTATGTTCCGTTTATGGATAGCACAGCTCTTCACACTCGGCTCAGATACAGATCGTCACATTTGGCTCAGATGTCCGTCAATGGTTGGCTGATGAACTTACGACCTTCTAACTTTTTGTTTAAATATGGGCCCATGCGTTTAACGGCTGCATTCAGCCGATAAACGTCTGTATTCAACTATTTTTAGAGGTTATTCGTCCAAAGATAAAATTATCTAATGACCCGGGAAATAAATGGCTGGACAAGTTGCCACCAGTGGCTGGTGGCTGCCCTGCTCACCAGCTTCCTGCCTCAGGAAACCATACGATACATGTGGATGAGTACGAATTTCAACACGTATACGTTTCATAACTTGCAAATCGCATGAACGTAACCTGCGTGCGCTGGCGAGCGTCAACACGGATACAATGAGTGTACGTCAACACGCAAGCATGGCTTGTTTTTCAGCAAATGCCGTGCGCATTGTATTACCTTCATCTCTCTTGCGCTGCGTTTATTTCAACACGCTCGCAATATGTGTACGTACATGAACACGCCTGTATTTCTTGTACGCCCTTGCGTATCTTCAGCCAAACATGCGTGCATCGTGTTTTCTCCTACACACTTTGCATGACATTGCTTTAATATCATCACGCTTGCATGGCGTTCTGGTAATAAGCGTACATTGTGTATTCTGCAACCTGAGCTCCAGGGGCCATACTTTCAAAACTCGCGAAGTGAACGTATGTACTTACGCTCTATTTTCTTGTCTATGATTGGTGCATTTTGATTGAAAGGCCGTCAATGATTGGCTGATGAACTTACGATCTCTTAACTTTTTTTGAAAGTATAGGTCCAGGACTTCAACACCAACGTTCTGCTAGAGTCATAAATGCAAAACCATTCCCATTATAACCTACTGAATCATTCTTGAGGTAATGCCGGGTAACGGCAGGCGATTCGACGTCGCCGCTTTTTGGCAGTATTATAGTGACGAACATTGACACGCGCTTCTCATTTGAATTCTGTAATCTTATCGTGAATATTGAAAGCTACAATTTTAGAGCTACTCAGTGTTAAAGATTGAACATGTGGATTTGGTCATTATTAATAATACAAGTTTCCGAGTTTTTAATCTCCGGTTATTTTTGAATTGAAGTTTGTCGAAATACTTTTCACTTGCATTCAAAAACAAGAAATTGACCTTTCAAGACTAGTTTCTAATTCCAATCTTGAAAGTTTTAATTAATTCGGATTCCCAATTCACCTTGACATCTGGATTGATTTGTGTAACCAAAAGTTCGGCATTGCGTACTGTCGATTGCCGTTGCAACTGTCGAATACCCGAATAAATCTTTTTCCGGCCGAAACCGTCTGCAAATACCGCAACGCGTCTCATTTATTGCCCTAAAATGAGACCATGAATGCCTGTTTTCACAGTTTAATTGGTTCATTTTTATGAACTACAATAATAAGAAAATTGATTCCATCGAAATCAGCAATGTTAGAATGACCACTAATTCTAAAGGAAATTACTACGGTTACGGTTCTATACTTCATTTTCCAGCCGTTGTAGGCGGAATTTTCAGACTCTTGCAAATAAATTTGCTGTGCAAATTTATAATATGCTGGAGATAGATACCAATATTGTGTTTTCGATTATTAATTCGCCTAATACTTGCCATTTCGACGAGGGGTTCATCCTCGAGTTTATTTAATATTAAACCCCCATGATTTTTTTGTCCAGGAAAAAGCGATGACGAAGCTGGACCGAATAAAGACAATAAATTTCCGGTGACGTTTCCTTAAATAGCAAGTCAATAGCAAATTATTCCGGATGTTACATGTGTAGTGCATACAGGGGAAAGATAAATGAATGTGAGTTTCACGATTGATTGCAATACCGCTATTCCGTCGCTGCAAATAAAGAAGTTGGCGACCATATTTGAATCGATTCATCTTGAAAATTTACGCCTTTAAAGCACACTAGGTCATATCGAGTGCCTAATACGCGGCTCTATTAGTTAAAACGATGGCCCAGAATACATTCGAGAGAGCTTGCCACATCAACGCATATATGTATAATCGTATCGAGTCATCCTTATTACTTGAATTTGAGGAAAAATTAACAAAATTTTGGGCGTCCGAATATCAGAGGAAAATGCTCGACAACATTGATCTGAAAAAAAATTTGAACGGCTGACAAAATAGAAACTTGAATCCGACGAAAAAACATAATTCTAGCCTTTTTCAAATTCATCTTAGACCAATACAAAAAAATAACGAAACGTTTTCCGTCACATACTTTAGGTGTGCAGTAACTCTCGTGACAGTTTTGTACTTTAGGGAGCTTTTTTATGTCTGGGTGTCCATGTTGGGTGGGTGGACTCAAAAACACAGGACAACCGCATGAATGATCGTTGGATCTGAGAGCTTGTAAAAGGCAGTGACCGATCATTAAATTGCTGGATACTTTTAAAGCGATGGAAACGCAAAACAGTAAATCAGTCAAAAAAATTTTACATTTACATTAGGCTTGATCAGGCAAACAGCCTGATCAAGTTTTGTCATCTTATTTGCCTCAAAGATGCATCAATAAATTATTAAAATCCTATTTTCTAAAATTCAGCGTTAAACAATTGTTGACATATCTGCATAAAATACTCTTGAAGTCCTATTTGCATCATACCATTGTTGATATTGTTTATCCACCAATTCAGCATTCATCGATTGTTGACATCGTATCTGCGTCAATACATCAATTGGATGTCATCGTGTCTGCATCAATTACTTGTTGACATTGGACCCGCATCGATTCAGCATCAACCAATTCTTGACATCTGATCGGTGATGCTTCGAAGGTGAATATGATTATAGATGACAAAGGGATAAAAATTCATCCATAAATGCAATCAAATACCATATTCCATCAAAGAAACTAAAATTCAGACCAAAGAGAAAACAGAGGAAAGAAGTAGCGCCATGAAGATGATTTCTCGATTGTTGGACATCGTTAATCTGGCCGCTAATGCCGGCCGAGCACGCAATACAGAGCTTTAAATACTTGGCTGCAGTGGTAGAGACGTTGGCCGAGAAGTGGCTAAACNATTGTTGGACATCGTTAATCTGGCCACTAATGCCGGCCGAGCACGCAATACAGAGCTTTAAATACTTGGCTGCAGGGGTAGAGACGTTGGCCGAGAAGTGGCTAAACTCTAATAATGGAGTGTCTGGAGCTGTTCAGTCAGAAAGCCCAGGACGAAGATCACACAAAAAACTTAATAATAGAGTGTCCGGAACTGTTGTCAGAAAGTCCAGGACGAAGATCGCACAAAAAACTTAATAATGGAGTGTCCGGAGCTGTTCAGTCAGAAAAGCTTAGGACGAAGATCACACGAAAAAATTTATTAATGGAGCGTCCGAAGCTGTTCAGTCAGAAAGCCCAGGACGAAGATCACACAAAAACCCTAATAATGGAGTGTCTGGAGCTATTCAGTGAGAAAGCATAAGACGAAGATCACACAAAAAACTTTATAATGGAGTGTCCGAAGCTGTTCAGTCAGAAAGAACCAGGAAGAAAATCACACAAAAAACTTAATAATGGAGTGTCTGGAGCTGTTCAGTCAGAAAGCCCAGGAAGAAGATCACACAAAAAACTTTATAATGGAGTGTCTGGAGCTGTTCAGTCAGAAAGCAAAGGACGAAGATCACACAAAAAACTTTATAATGGAGTGTCTGGAGCTGTTCAGTCAGAAAGCCCAGGACGAAGATCACACAAAAAAACTTTATAATGGAGTGTCTGGAGCACTTCAGTCAGAAAGCAAAGGACGAAGATCACACAAAAAAGCTTTATAATGGAGTGTCTGGAGCTGTTCAGTCAGAAAGCAAAGGACGAAGATCACACAAAAAAACGTAACAATGGAGTGTCTGGAGCTGTTCAGTCAAAAAGCCCAGGAAGAAGATCACACAAAAAAAATTAATAATGGAGTGTCTTGGGCTGTTCAGTCAAAAAGCCTGGGGCAAAGATAACACAAAAAAATTAATGATTGTGTGTCTGTAACTGCGCGGTCAAAAATGCCTGCAGTCGAAATGCAAAAATATGGGATGAAGTTTGCACCTAAAACTAAGTTTATTAACCCCAAGTAAAAGCTCAATCAATGTTCAAAAACATATAAGCAATGCAATTGGTGAAATTAGATATGGTACGATGGAATGCTGTGAGACGTTTGCAAACATTATGTTAGGATGAATCACAAATATGGTGGAGAAAGATACCAATAATGTGTTTTCGATTATTAATTAACCTAATACTTTCCATTTCGGCGAGAGGTTCATCCCTCGAGTTTATTTAATATTAAACCCCCATGATTTTTTTGTTCAGTAAAAAACGATGACGAAGCTGGACCGAATAAAGGCAATAAGTTTTGAAACAACGGCATTTGCGCTCGGACAACTCAGTTGGTAATCTCAAGATTCAAATGGAATATATATTGCCTGTAACTGAGAGTGTTTAATTAATCGCCTAACAACTAGTTAACTTTTTTCTACGACTATTAACTACGTCGGAATCATGACTTTCAAAATCACACACAGACTTTCATAAACTTTCATAGTCTTTTTCACAAATGTGAAAGATTTTTAATCAGGATTAAGTATAAGTAATTTATTATTACCAGAAAACATCAGTAATTGCACCAATTCCGCATGAATTCTTTGTAGATTCTGAATACCAAATGTCTTAGAAAAGCCGTAATTTTGCCAATTTCGTTAATTTCGTTGGCCATTAATAAATAATGTGACGCAACGTTCGGTTTGGCAAAATTTTCTGAGATATTCTTTTAAATGTGTAATAGAGAAATTTGTAGCTAGTTACTTTACTGATAATGCTGAATCTTTTATGAATATTATTTTCTTGAACAGTTCCATTAACTTCATATACATTTTATGTGCCTCCCGCTAACCATCAAGCAATTAGCATTTCCTG